GCTAACTCTATCGGGCTTCGGTCTAAACGGTCGGGGTCTAAAAACCCTGATTTAAATGGGCTACTAAAAAAAGACTCTAACCCTATTTTTCTTCGGGCTAAATGGACCGGCCCGTCGGGCCAATGACCGTTTAACATCTCTATATGTAATAAATATATATAAAGTTTGAGTATTTTTCGTAGTAGTTATCCAATTTTCATGATTTATCAAATTAATAATATCATGAGATTTATTCTTGATAAACTTGCTATGCATAAAAATCTTAAACAGACCCACCGTATTTAAATGTGCATAGCCCATTATGAAATTGGGCCCATGCAAAATCAGGCACAAACTTGTGAAGAAAGCCTAGTTCACAGATCTTGTGCGATCTCTCCTCCCCTTTCGAATGTCGATTTGTCAGATAGTGCCATATGTTGATCTCTCTGTTGGATGTGAACATGAATAGGTAAAGCAAATTGGTAAAGCAACAGTCCAACAGGTCTCAATCAAAAGTCGAGTTTTTGCATGGGGACACATGCCATTCACTCGCACCCTTAGTTGACACTCAACGATCATTATTTTTCTACCTTCATCCATGCATAAATTCGACGGGATGCACAGATATATCTATTAACCGGGATTAAAATACATAACTTTGGATCTTCTATTGTATGATATTTACACCATCTCCAATCAATCTTGGTTTACGATTCGTTGTAACTCCTAAAGCCTTTGTGTTTTCTTTTTCTTAGCCTCTCGGTTTAATTCGAATTTTCTCAAGAGAATAACTCTATTTTCTACACTATTTTGGACGTATGGAAATTTGATTTTGGCGTGAATAATACGATCTATGCATGTGGGATTATGTACATATGAGGTGTGCAGAAGTTATTCTTTGGAATCTATGGGACTTGGTGTATTTATAGACAACAATAAGGGGCCCTAAAGAGATGCTAAATATGAACTTCTTTGAATAGGATTAGAAAATCTTATATCTTCGAAATCATTAACCTCCTAGAAGTGATAGTGCCTTTCAACTTAGTTAACCTTCTAGAAGACCTTCATGTCTTCTAACTTGGTAACATTCTATAAGACATTAGATCATTCTGATTGTTAATATTCTAGAAGACATTTTAATTCCTAATCCTTATTTGAATAAATAACAAAATATTTCATTAGAGTAATATTATTGATTTTCTCATTTAACTCCGAATTGCAATTTATTCGTCTCTCGATTAATTTACTCGATTTACCTCCCCATGTTTAAGATATAACGTCCATTGATTGATTTAATTACTGACAATATAATTAATTGATTTTTTGAACCGAAAATAGTACCACTCAATACTTTATTGTTGTGTCGAAAATTAATCTGTCGGCCGCACTTGTCATAAAAAGCCTTCTTGAGATCATTTCGGGAAATTATCAACCCAGCAGACCGAGACACAATGAACGTAAACAATCTTAATGACACGTCATGTAAACAACATCACTTACTAAAATATCGAGTATGTCAACCTAACATAATAGGTATCATAACATAATAGGTATCACCCTTGTTAAATCAAATAATTAAGTGTTGAATACGTATCCCCGTTTATTGTCTTACGAGTTAAGAGAACGCAACAATTACTGTTTAGTGAGGTCTAAATTATTTACTTGGTCAGTAAAAAATAATTTTATCCTCTTGAAGGTCTGTTCAATCCATACGAGATGCACTAGTGTAATTCAATAATCAAAGATCAACTAATTTAAATCACACTACAATCTTTCTCGACATTTAGTTCAATTATGTCTGGGCCATGAAATACTTATATTTTACAAGACACCGATAATGTGATCTTTGTGTTAGACACATCCAACCACATTATCTACAATGTAAAATAAAGAATTATGTTCGCCTAAATAAATAAACTACGAACATTAGCTTGACTAAAAGACACACATGTCAATCAAAATGGAATTGAGAGTAATCACAAAACCAAGCTTCTATTGTATACTCCAACAGCTTCACCGAAAAACTCCTCAGGTGTAAGAGTTTTTGCAAGTCCAAAGACATTCAACCGGCGAGGAGCTCGAGATCAGGCCGAATCCAGCTGGTCAGAGGCCTTTTGCGTATTAAATTCATATGCAATTTAGGAATATTTGGTGGTTTAGTTGAGATATATAATTATGTCTAGGGTCAATGTTAAGCATGAAATACTTAAATACCTTTTATGTAGATTTATTGGATTTTTTAAAATAAGGGCATTTTAATATTTACACAAAGCATTAGGGACACTTGGCATCTATTTCAGACTTTACCTGTTGTTATAAATGTACGAGGCTAAAAGAAATGAATCAGACCGTAGAACAACCCTGCATTTATTTCATCGATAATACTCCTTTAATAGACAACATTCTATAGTTTGTCGAACCAACATTGCTGTTATAAATGTATGAGGCTAAAAGAAATGAATCGGACCGTAGAACAACCCTGCATTTATTTCATCGATAATACTCCTTCAATAGACAACATTCTATAGTTTGTCGAACCAACATTCCATCTAAATACTCCAGTTGATAAGTTCTGTGGTCCAAAACTTCGTTAACCTTATAACGACCCTCCCATTTTGATATAACTATTAGGTTGAAGTATCTTTTTTCATAAAAATGTATAATTTTATTAAAAAATAATATTTTAAAAAGAGAAGTGAAAGTAAGTAAACTATTTGATAGTATAAATATATATTTTTATTTAAAGATTAGAACTATATCAACACAAATAGATTGTCTTAAACTATAATTTGTGTTTAATTATAAATAATGAGGGTGTATTCAATTGAGATTTCTAAATATTTTTTATAAACTTTTTAATACTTCGGAAATCCTGCTAAATTTAATTTAGACTTCTCAAACCTTTTAAAAGTCAAAATTCTGAGGTCGCTAATATTTCAGGTTTGTTAAAACTTTTTAAGATTTACTTAGATTTATTAAAAAAAAAAAAACATGTATGAAATATCACTCCAAATCTCACATCCAAACTTAAAATTTCACAACATTCCTCCAAATTCAATCTTAAAAACCTCAATATTAATCAATACTGATTGATGTTAAGACTTTTGAAAATTTACTTAGATTTATAAGAAAAAAAATATGAAATCTCACTTTCGATTTCACAATATTCCTCCAAAATCTTAAAAAACCTCAATATTAGTTAATACCGATTGATGTAATAAAATTCTTTCTTGGCCACAATAATGAATAAGCGTATCTAAATTAATAATATGTAAACACACAATAAAATATGTCATATCAACCCAACAAAACGATATTTCCCACTCCAAAACTAACACCAATGCGTGCATTATGCGTTTCTTGACCAAAAAATTAAACCCCAAATTTTAATTCAGTACCATAAAATTAAGCATGAAACAATAGAGAGCACTTATACTACTACTGTAACATACCTATATATACTAAAACCAAAAATACCTTAAACATTATTTGGTTGTACTATTATGTGTTGGCTTATGGCTCTGCTTACTGGCCTTTGATTTCTAGTGGTCCTCCTCCTTGGCCGGCTGCTCGTCTCCCTCGCAGAACATCCGGCCCAGGACACAAGCCGCTACACATATGACCAGGATCACCAGTAGGACAACGAGAACCGGCGTAAACGAGCAATTAGATTCGGGTTGATCACCGGTCATGACAGGATCGATTTGGTAGGGTTGTGACATTTTGATTATTGATTTTGGTCGATTCAAATATTGTGACAATGAGGAAATGTATGGTCTTTTTTTTTTTGTGTGTGATGAGAAGTGAGAAGAACAGAGGAATAATAATTTAGGTTTTGCTTTGGGATGGTTTCATACAAGAATTGAATGAATATATTTGGTTGGATTTTGGGAGCTTTCTTTTTAATAAAGGGCAACTATATATATTGTTGCCGTCTTTTATTACTCAATAATAAGGAAGGAGGATATTTTTGATGCATGGTGAAGAAAGAAAGCAAGGATTTGTTTGGCCTTGTTTTAAAAGCTGTCACATTAATCTATGAAAGAGGACGAGGAGATTTATGAGTTATTTTTATCGGAAAATGCTACGAGTACATAATAAAATGTATATAGAGGTGTACATAACACTCACGTTGAGTGTTTAACTTATTTTTTTTTTCTTATTTTTGGTGGGTCTCACTCAATATGAGTGTATGTACACCTTTATGTACAATATTATGTAATTATAGCATTACTCTTTTTTACTTTATTGTTGGCTTGAACAATTGTATGAACATGAACACATCGCTAATGTTTTTTTCTTTATAAATTTTACAAAATCTAAAAATTTTTTAGTAAATCTTAGTCTCAAATAAATTAAATACATCATGTGATAGATTTTGTGAGGCTTTTTAAAATCTCAATTGAATACTCTAAGACTTTTATATAAGTCTTGAAATGTCTTATAAATCTAAATTGAATACATTAGAATTTCTAAAGTCTTAAAAAATCAGGATCAGTTTGTCAGTCTCATCTCGTGCTTGGACTTGGCACGATAGCTATTCCTTGCATTATAAATTCCAATTGAATACACTTCCTAAAACGTTATCTATTTTAAAAAATAAAAAATAAAAGGTCTACAAAATTCCAAATTGAATAAAGATGCGGAGAAATACTATAGGTACATAATAGTATACATAGAGGTGTGCATAGTACTCACATTACATGGGTCCTACCAAAAATAAAAAAATAAGTGGACCCCACATATGAGTGTTTATGTACTTGTAGCATTTTTAAAAGATGCGAGTGTTTTCCAACTTGTAGAACTTTTTTTTAGGATTTTTCTCAATCTAAGCCCTGAAAGATGTTTTAACTATCAATTCGGGTCTCGAAAGATTATTTTTATCAATTCGGGCCCTGAATATTTTAAAACTATCAATTCGGGGCTCTTGTAGTTAACACCGTTAAGTAGCCTTTCTTAACATGTGATGTGGGTGTTAAATTAACACATAACGAGGACACGTCAACTAAAAAAATAAAAAAATGGCTAAACTCTTGTACAAGAATCAAAATGAGAATGAACTGTACAGGTGATTGTACAGGAGGGATTTTAATGGAAGAAAGTGGAGGGCAGGAAAAGTGTAATAATTTTATCTTGTTTGGAGGGATTTTGTAGGAGGGGGTGAAAAAAAATAGTAAACCTTATTTGGTTAGAAATATGAAGGGAAATAAAATATTGTAAAAATGACAGTTATACTCTTAATAATGTAAGAACAAAAAATTAAAATAATTTATATATGAAGAACAAAAGTGTTATTTTACAATTTAAAATTTTCACTGCTCTCCAAATTCTACACTTTTGCACAGTGTTTGGTTCGTGGGGAAATAGAGGGGAGAGGAAGGGAGGTGAGAGAATTTTTTATTTTTCTCTTGCTTGAATCAATTTTTTGTAGAAGAAGGGGTTAAGATTTTCTCTTCAAATCCCTCATCCAAAGGAAAATACTCTCCCCTTTAAAGGTGGGAGAATTTGGAGGGGAGGGAATTTTGTAACAACAAAGTACATTTTTTACTTTAATATGTGAATTATTTTATCTTTTTGTTTCTTACATCATTAAGAGTATAACTGTCATTTTTACAATATTTTTTTCCCTTCCATTTTTCTAACCAAATAAGGTTTACCATTTTTCCTCCACTCACCTCCTACAAAATTTCTCCAAACAAAGTAAAATTATTTTACATCACCTCTCCTCCTCTCACCTCCCTTCCATTAAAATCTTTCCCCTCCCTATCCTTCAATTGAACCAAATATACCCAATATACCCTTTGAAGGGAGCAAAATTGGGGCATGAGAGAGTTTGCCTTAAAATTTCCCCTCCCATTGCCTCCCAAGTTACAAACAAAACAAAGATAAATTGATTGGATATGAATTCAACTAGTAATTTTTTTTTTAACTATAGTTAAGTTTGAAGAAAAAATTAGTATAATTAATTGGTAGTGGATATATTAAAGTTGATTTGATGTAAAAGTATGAGAAAATGATTGAAAGTAATGGTAGTTAAAAATTATGTGAGTGAATGAATAGTGAATTAAAATTGATGTGATGTGTAATAACGATTAGTTGATATTATTTGATTATATTAATAACATTGGAGATAGTAAGTTTCGAGTGAAATATTTACAGCCCTAACTAATCCCCTCCTTTCCCCTCCCATCTCCTCCAAATCCCTCACACTAAACTTGAAATTTCCAAGTTGCAGAACTTTTTTTTACTCTAGAGAGAGAAAAAGCTTCACACTTGTGGAACAAAAAAAACCAAAAGATAAAGATTAATAAACTATCCCAAAAACTGATGAAAGACGCGAGTGTTCTCCAAAATCTCAAACAAAAATCAGCAGAAAAATATTATTCGCCAGTTTGTTTACTGAGCTTCTTGCACAAAATTTTGAGGAGGTAATTAAAATTCCACAGCTTGATTATGATGTCTGCAAGTTCATTTGCTGTTAGCGTTATGACTTACGATGATGATTGTGCAGGTTATCATGAGCGAGGTACAAGATACAACGTTTGATAAGCCAGGTGCTAAAATCAGTGGACACCCTAATTTGGTCCGTGTGCATAGTTTCTTCTCAAAATTTTCTGAAAATGTGTGCGAATTTGTTAAGGTACGTGGCCCCTTTTCATAGCCGTCACTCGAGCTGTAATTGGAATTGCAGGATTTGAATCTAAGGGATGACGAATCCCGAATCGCACTTTTTTTCAGATAATGGAGTATTAAATCCTTGGATTGTATTTGGGGATGTTCTGTTCTAATCTGATTTACTTCACTAGAGAGATTTTCTTGGTTTGTGCAGCTTCATCATAAACAATTGAAGAGTGATGGTCGTGTAATTAAGTCGAAGTGCCCGACATTGAGCAATAAAGGTTCATATACTGCAACATTGAGCTTAGAGAAGCAATTGAAGGCATGGAAAGACAACCCAGATTGGGTGGACCGTCCTCCAGATATAAAGGTTATAAAAAGTGTTTTGGCATCTAAGGCATCTAACTCGGGGAAATTATCGAACTTAGCTTCTTATTGTTGATGGGGGTTTTTTCAGTCATAGGGATAACAAGATTTGATAGCAAAGAAAACTGATTTATGAAACTGAAAGATTTGGTGGTATGCATGGGATCAACTGATTAGCTTGTGAGATATCAAAATATTTTTGTGTTTTTATTATCATTTGATGCAGACAAATGGTTTGTAGCTCGGGTCATCTATTCTTCCGATTTTTGGTTTACTTTCTTGATGTCTAAAAGCATAAACGTTTGCAGGTCACCATTCCTAAAGGTTCTCTTTCCAACCTGAGTTTGACAGTTGATGTTGGATTACCGCCCGATGCCGTCTATAACATTGTGACAGACCCTGATAATAAGAGAGTTTTCAAAAACATTAAGGTAATAATCATAATGTTGGTCATGTTTTTTTTTGCTTTTTTTATGAAGTAAATGTTCTCCAGGATGTAGTAGAAACTTGATATCACAATTATCTACAATTTCTCTCTCTCGTAATAGGTGTTTTCACAAACAGTAAGGGATAATAATCATTATGTTGGTTCTTATTTATTTATTTATTTATTTATTTATCTTTTTACGTTTTTCGCACCATGAAACGTAACATTACAGGCATCCATCTATGTTTTACATCCTATATATCCTCAGGAAGTAATTTCCAGAAAGGTATTAGTTGATGAAGGATTAAGGCAACTAGTTGAAGTGGAGCAAGCAGCAATATGGAGATTCCTTTGGTTATCAGGCACTATCTCGGTTCATGTTTTGGTAGATCAGAACAGAGAAGATTATACAGTAAGATTATTTAACTGTATGTATACAGTAAGATTATGTAACTTTTTCTTGCAGCAATTTGGAGGTTCCTTTAGTACATTTTTAGGCCTTATGATATTCTCTATACACCACCTCGACTTATATGAGTCATATTTTTCTTTACCATAAGTTTGCTCGGTGGCAATTCGTATCATCATGTTATATTCATGTGGCATGGTGTTTTTCATGTTATCTATCGCAAAGCAAAAATGTAAATTTTGATAAATTTGTCGCGTCGCACCGAATGGGACAGTGCATATTAAAATTGTAAAATTTACAAAACAGTCGTGTTTCTAATCGTGGCTAGTCAGTCACCCACGACCATCACCAAGCCTCGAGTGGCAAGCTTAGTATCAAATGATTAGTGCATAGATAATTAATATATATATCATGTAGTTCGACTCACATTTTGCATAATTACGAAAATAACCTTTTTATTATTCATATCACTTGCATCCTCACATGTTATGTTAACTTTGCTCGTCTCCATATTTACCAGATGAAATTCAAACAAATAAAATCGGGATTCATGGAGAAATTTGAGGGCTCGTGGAAAGTGGAACCCATATTTATCGATCAAGAATTATGTCATCCTTTTAAACCCAAGTCCTTATCTGATTACGAGTCGTGCACGAGAGGCAAAGGACGAATAGCCTCAAAGCTAAGTTTAGAGCAGCTTATACAGCCAACTGTTGTACCTCCACCACCCATTTCATGGTACCTAAGAGGGATCACAACAAAGACGACTGAGATGTTGATTCATGATTTGCTTTCTGAGGCCGCCCGAATTAGACTATCTGGAAAATTTGAGGAAAAAAATGGTAAAAGTTGCGAAAGGGATGCGTGTGGGATTAAGGAGAGATGGGCTTTGAGAAGGAAAAATGGCAAGCACTCTCGGAGGAGGTTGTTTTCTAATCCAGAGTTATATTGAATTTGTATGTGATTATAGATAGCATCATTGTTCTCATGGTTAGTTTATTTTGTTGGAGAAACAAATGGATAATAATAGTGATCAATTCAATTAACTAATAGTTTTCGCAGATTGGTGAGGCAACCGAACCATTACGAGGTCAGACTTGTCGGAAAATTCGGTGCTACCCCTAGGGGCAGTGCAATCATGTCCCTAGGGGCCCTTGATTTCACACACCCATGTGGGTGTGTGCGAGCCTGTATGTGTATAAAGAAAGGGCCCCTTGGTGCTGACTGCACTGTTTTTAGGGGCAGCATCGCCTCTTGTCATACTTCTGTAAGAAAATAGATATGTATACTATGAAATAATATACCTGTTTTAAAATTGACATTCAATTTGAAAGTAGAGCACTTCTATTTGGTGAGGCAGGCTTTGTAACGTGCCTGACATCAGTTATCCATTTATGAACCTTTAAATCATAGTTAAAATAAATTAGTGATAATTCGTAATGAGTCCATGTGTATAAAATATTCATCCAAAAAATTATTATAAAATGGGGAGTGATTTTGTAAAAAAAAATGGACGGACTAAAAAGTTTTTATGTTTGATATGTATACTAGTAGAACGTCCGTGTATTACACGAGTGTTTGTTAAAAAAATATTATTAAAATTTTAAAATTAATGAGAAAAATTATTCTAAATTTTATTTACGTTTTTTATAAAAAGATATTTATTATTATATATTTTAAAATGATACTTGTTACTTGTGCGACTTACATATGATATATTATAGTAATTTTTATAATTTATATTATCTAACTACATGAATACAAATATGTTAATTGATGAGTAATTTTATTTTTCTAATTAATATTAAAAACAATTTTATTATTGTTATAAAGATAAATATAATTTTTTTTTTTTTACACATACAATATGAATGTTAAATCGAAACTCATCAAGAGATGATTAATTTGATATACTATATATGTAAAACAGATAAAAAATACAAATGTTATTAACTTTTAAACTATATTTACAATTCAATAGTTATAATAAAAATGATATTAAAAGCAATTAATACGTGAAATATAGCCATAAATAATCAACATATTTACGGATGATCCGAATCTATTTATTTTTGAATTGAAAGTAAATTAAAATTTATCCAAACCTAATAACAAAGTATATAATTTCGCCACACAGATCCCGAAGCATGCGAATCTAGGCTCTATCAATCCATACTCTTCAAAATTCTATGTTACAAAAAAATCATACTTCCATATAAATTAATAATTTTACCAAGAGCGCTTGGATGAGATGGTTTGGGTCTCTTCCAGCTTAACCAGTGGTCTTGTGTTCGATCCCTGAGAATGCAGCAGTGTTAAAAACTCTCTTGAGGGAGAGCTTTGCCGCCCTTGTGGTCTTACCCGGCTCGATTCCGGATTAGTCGGTTCCTCTGTGGTTCCGGAAACCGGAAGGTCCCTGTACAAATAATAATAATATAATAATAATAATAATTTTACAAAGAGAAATTTTCTGGAAAAATCGTGGAGGCTTACGATTGGCGCGTACTCAAGAAAAAAAAAGAACAGTGATGGTGATACAAAACCATGAGAATTGCAGATAAGCAAGTTGATAAGCGCAACGGTTTTCAGCCATGGACGCAATCCTCTCAACCTCCGCATTTCCCATCAGAAAGCCCCTCCTCTGCAACCCCCACGCCGCTCCATTTTCCCTAACCTTACAAGGAATCAAAACGCAGCAGAGCCATTTCACGCGGAAGCGTTTGTTTTCCCCAAATCAATCGCCGCACAGAATATGTGCAAGCTCTCAACCTTCTCCTTCTTCTTCGTCTACTTCCGTACCGCCTGAAATGAAGGCGTGGACATACAGCGAGTACGGCGGCGTCGAGGTTTTGAAGCTCGACTCGAATGTTACGGTGCCGGAAATTAAGGATGATCAGGTTCTGGTCAGAGTGAAAGCTGCTGCTCTCAACCCTATCGATTTCAAGAGGAGATTTGGGAAATTCAAGCCCACTGATTCACCTCTTCCAGTAAATTCTCTTTCACCTCTGCTCTTCCAGTAAATTCAAGGCATGAATGTATTATTATGGTTTCAGCTGTTGTATTGAATAAATGTGAAATTTCAATTGCCTCAGACTGTACCGGGCTACGATGTTGCTGGTGTGGTTGTTAAAGTCGGGAGTCGAGTGAAGGGCCTCAAGGAAGGAGACGAAGTCTATGGAGATGTAAATGAGAAAGCGTTGGATGGGCCGAAACAGTTTGGATCATTAGGTGAGTACACAGCTGTGGAGGAGAGATTGTTGGCTCTCAAGCCCAAGAATCTCGATTTTTCTCAGGCAGCTAGCCTCCCGCTCGCGATTGAGACGGCTTATGAAGGTCTCGAAAAGGCTGGGTTCTCCAAGGGCAAGTCCATACTGGTTCTTGGTGGAGCTGGTGGTGTTGGATCCCTCGTGATTCAGGTGAGATACTGTATATGTACTGGTATTGGGTTGTTCTCTTCTTGTGATGAATTTTTGCTTGACAAGTCTAGTGCACAACTTTCCGATGATAAATTCGTAACATGATCCTCAAAATTGTTGATTATTACACGCCTAGTATTCTAGCTGGTTCTGGTTTCTAAGCTCAGAAAGACTCGGGTTCTTTTGGCCAGTACCATTCGGTCCAAAAGAGGATGTCTCGCATGATGCCTGGCATATGTTTGCGACATTTCTAGTTACAGCTTTAGTCTTAGGGCCCCAAAATTTGAAGCTCGTAAGAATTTGGATGCAGCCCATTAACTGAGCTGTAGCTGCACTTTTAGAGACCAATCAAATTGTTTTGTACTACTGATCTTGAAGAAAGGCATGATCTATATGGTTCTTAATGTTAAGAACAACAAAACTAGGCTTAGTTGGTCAATTGGCTGAACTCTTCAAAAAGGGTACAATATTCACGAAATATTTTGTGTTCACTTGATTAGTTTATCTTTTCCTCCCAAGTTCCGCCTTATTTGTCCAAGTCTATCGATTAGCCAAGTTTTTGAATTAGATGCATATGCCATAAAGGCGATAAATAGAATTCCTAGAAACAATTGAGCCTATAGTGCATATTTTTGTAGTTTTCTTGTCTCTGCAGAGGACCGAGTGCATGATGCTTATAGAACTTCAATACAGAAAGACATAATGTCTGCCCAAGTGCCCATATTTAAAAGTACTAACTCTGATAGTATATATTTATAGACGATAGCAGATTTAGCGTGCATTTATTTTCTTAAAATTGAAATGTGGCACCAAACACGAGCTTTGGTTATGCAGTTGGCAAAACAAGTGTTTGGTGCTTCCAAGGTAGCTGCTACGTCCAGCACAAGCAAGTTGGAATTTTTGAAAAGCTTGGGGGCCGATTTAGCTATTGACTACACCAAGGAGAACTTTGAAGACCTACCCGAGAAATTCGATGTTGTTTACGATACAGTTGGTAAGAACTAATAACGATCTTGTTTGCATTTGCTAGAAACCATTGGTTTAGTTTCCCATGAATATGCATATTCAATTCTTTTTGTTGGAAGAGTAGATTTTATAATGAATTTAACACCAAGTGGCACGATCTTCAACAGGGCAATGTGAGAAGGCGGTGAAAGCTGTCAAGGAAGGTGGCAGTGCGGTAGTCCTTACTGGTGCAGTTGCACCGCCCGGTTTTAGATTTGTAGTCACTTCAAACGGAGAATCTCTAAAGAAACTGAACCCATTCTTGGAGAGTGGGCAAGTGAAGGCTCTTATTGACCCTAAGGGCCCTTTCCCTTTCGACAAAGTAACTGAAGCTTTCTCGTATCTTGAGACGAACCGTGCTACTGGGAAGGTGGTCATATATCCTATTCCATGATCACAGTGCTGCTTCTTCAAAAACAGCACATGCAGGTGTTTAAAAAGTCTAAAAGTTTGTGGCTATTTTTTAGCAAGTGTTTTATATCATGATGGTGTTATCAAAATATCTTAATTAGGCTACAACTAATATAATAACATAAGATAAAAGACTATTTAATATTTTGTAAAAATTAATACCTCCCCTGTTAAAAAGTCCAAATAAATTGACAAATTCAAATGTTTCATATTATTAGACATATATAGGTTCTGGCTAACACAAACATGTAGAGCAAAACTGTCAACAGTAGCTCTATAAAGCATATATAAAAACAAGATAACAAGAAAAATGAAAAATAGTACTTGAAACAAACATTTCATCAAAGTACCAATAACCCAAAGACCCTTATTATTCTTTGACAACCATACATTTTGAGATCTTGCCACAAACATCATTACCATTTGGTTAAAGACAGCATTAAATAGCACACGAAAATCTCTTATGGACCTTCACACAGTCATGGAAGGCGAGAGGTTAAAATCGAGGTTCCAAAGTTCAAACGAGCCCTTGACGAAGTCATAGTGTCCGCCTTTCAACGAAAGAGTCTTCTTCACAACAGCTTCCCTCACAAATGGATACGTCAAAAGATTGCCCAGAGAAATGTTCACAGCCTCCTGTACGGGCCACAAAAAAAAATATGTGTATAGGGACAATATTAAAGAATATTGATTGACAAAAAAATATTTGAATCATGAAATTAATTACTAGATATTATTATATTATATATATATATATATTAGGCATTTTTTTAATTTTACCTTCTCTAGATGAGTGCACTGTTGGCTGAAATCCAAATGGTTACATTCCGCCTTAACCTTAGCCTTGGCTGGTTTGCAGATGTTAACCCATTCCTCTATGAAATCGCTACATTTTTCAGACAAAAAAAGGTAGAAAATAAGTATATCGTACAATTTCAAACACCAATTAAATAATATATATAGAAATTTGATTAACCAACCAATGGAAAATAGGAGTAACATGTCAACAAGAACTAAAGAAGTATCATTCGATGTGGATGTGGATGATGTTGAGAAAATTACGCTATATTTTCCATGACTTCGCATCTATAAAAGTGAAATATAAGCGAAAAAATTGGACACGCCAAATTGATCATAACAGAGTTCGACCAATAATACATACGTCTCCGGACTACTGTAAATATTTTATTAGGAGAATTAAAGTGATCATTAGTTAAAATTATGTGAGTGGATGAATAGTGAATTAAAGTTCATTGAATTAATTTTAATTATAGTTGAGTTAATGGTTGCTATTATTTAATTATACAGATAATATCGAAGATAATAAGATTGAGTTGGATTTTGAGTATGAATTAATTTGGATTGAGTAATTTCTTGAATAAACACAGGCAAAGTAACACAATCATAAAAGATATAAAAAGGACAATAGTAAGCCCATTTGATGTTCATACACATAATTGTACATTTGATGTACAAGAAATGTTGAAATAGCCATAGTTATTAAAAAAAACACTAACCTTTGAGGGGTGCCATCATCAGGGATAGACATTAGGCCCTTTATTCCACCACAACAGCTGTGCCCAATCACCAATATGTTCTCCACCTAACACCCATAACTTCACTCATATTATTAAAGGGAAATGCTAAAGCCCGTTACGAAATCAATCTGTCGAGATTTGTAACCGTTAGATCATCATGTAACCGTCGTGGACGGAATGATTCCGTAACGAAACCATAGAATCTCCCATTATTAAAATGTCAATGGAAAAAATATGATATATAGGAATAGCCACCCTTTTTTTTTTTGTCTTTATTTTTTCACAAGTGATCATTGTCTTATTCTCATGATTTATTGATACATTTAACTCTCTTTTTGTCTCTGTTTTTTTCTGTTACATTTATTTAACTCTGTTCACAATTATTCTTAATCACGGATATGTTGATTGTTGGACTTTTTCCCATTAAGACAGAGACTTCGTTATTATTTATTTATTTATTTATTTTTATTTTTTTTTTTAAATTCAAAAGCAGGAAAAGGACAACGCGAGTGTAATGTAAGGCATTTAAAAGTCGTAGAGAAGTTTATAGACCTCAGAAATTTTAAATTTTTAGTCCTTTTTTTTTCCTACTTTTTATCCACAGTATTTTAGTGGTCACTGATTATCGGCTTTATTACACTACCTATTTGTCGAGACGTGTCCTAGTATATGTTAAAATAGGAAAATGCTACTGTCCGGAACCATTCTGTCGGGATTTGTAACCGTTAGATCATCATGTAACCGTCGGGATAGTTGATCTAACAATCACAATGGAATGGTTATGTAACGGGACCGCAGCATTTCTCGTTAAAATATCCACTCATTTACATAAGAAAAAAAAAACACTATAATTGTAATATAATAGTAATCAGCATAAAATCACCTTAAGATGAATTACTGCATATTCAATTGCAGCCCCTACTCCAGAATATTTCTTCTGTAATAAATAGATGGAAATTATATTTCACTATCAAACAATTATGTGAAATAAATAATTAGGAATAACCTATTAAAATTAGGAAAAAAAATTAAAAAATTAAAAAAATAAAGTGTTACCCGATCAAATGGTGGAACCATGCTAGCAATGTTACGGACCATAAAGGCCTCACCAGGTTGAAAATTGAGTACATGAGAAGGACATACCCTCGAATCCGAACAAGCAAACACCATAAACTGCATATAAATTTTATTAAATTAAATGTATGTTAATTAGTTACAAAATTTTGTTGTAATAAAATTAAAACATTTTGCAATAATTTTTTTTTTTTTTAATTATTTATCTAGAATTTATTATCTGATTTACCTTGGGACTTTGGCCTCTGGCAAGTTCACCATACAAATCAGGGTTTTTCCTACAAATGATAAAAAAAAAAACAGTTAAACTAATCAAAAGCAACGAAATTCATATTAATAATATAACTAGATCCACACATATATCTATATCTATATATATATAAATTCGTGTGATAATTGATATTACTTATAGCAATATATTTTTCTTATTAAAACCATATAACATATACACCGACCTATGTCACGCATTAAGATTAATATACAAACCCAAAATGCATAACTAAATTACTTTGAAACTTTTATGTGTTTGGTAAGCACCGAAAACTAGCTTATAAACTTATTTAATTAGTTTTCAAGCTTCTTGTATGTATATAAACTTGATTTGGTAGGACAATTTTTTTTTTTCAAAAGCTTTAGTTTATCTAATAAGCTTCCTTAAATAGCTTTTAAAATAATTCAATTTAAATTTTTAGAGCTAATTTTACCAAAAAATTTTATCATATCAACTAGTTTTTCAGTCATAAAATCATAAATCATATCAGCTATAAGCTCGAAATGCAGTTATATGCTACTAGCTATTTTTTTAGTTATCACCTAAGCTAAGTTTACTTAACATAGCCTAAGTGATTTATTAAAATATGAATTTTTTTTTTTTTAACTAGCTTTTTCGAGATGAAAAATCAATTTTTTGCCTGTAAATCCTAAAAATCTGAATTCTGATGTATCGAAGTGAAATTTGGTGTGAGATTTTGAATACATATTTTGTCTTAAAATTATTTTCATATCTTTTGAAAAGTCAAATGAATAAAATTTTTAAATGTTCTAAAAAATCTAAATTAAATGTATTACGATCCTCAAAAGTAACAAACAAATTTAAATATTCATGAATGAATATGTGATTGGATATCAACTCACCAAAAAAAAAAAAAATAATACCAATCAAAACCTAAATTTAACTCAATTCTAATTCAATCTCACTCTTTTCAATATTATCAATATAATTAAATAATATTAGCTGACCATCACTTTACATCATCTCTCTCATATTTTTATATCAAATCAACTTTAATTACATTATTATAAATATTATTTTAATATAAACTCAAAATTCCACTAACAATTAATCATACCGCATTTTTTAAAATTAACTATAGTTATTAAAAAAACCAACTAAAAATCAAATCAGATTTATATCTAATCACACTCTTAGGGGCCGACTGGATATAGTTTCAACAGTAACAAAATCAATCAAAACTGAAATTTAACTCAACTTTAACCCCACCTCACCATCTCCAATATTATCAATATAATTATATAATATCAAACAATCATTCTTACACATCACATCAATTTTAATTTACTATTCATCCACTCACACAATTTTAACTAACCATCACTTCCAATTATTTTTCTTTTACTTTATATCAAATCAACTTTAATTATTTTATTTAAATATTATTTTAATATATCCACTAACAACTAATTATACTATATTTTTTCAAAATTAACTATAATTGAAAAACAAACCAAATAAAAATTAGTTAGAATCCATAAACAATCACACACAATGTATTCAAGACTTTTGTTTTTACATAGTATCCAATATAAATAATTTTGAACAACCGGAAACATAGTTGAATATTTGCATAAGGTTACCATAAAATTAATTTTCAACAACTTGAAATACAATATAGAATGAAGTCAAACTTTGCATTTCACGTGATTCTGCATATTTTGCCTAAAATACAACTACTTTTATGCAGTAGTTTATATTATTATTATTATAATTATTATTATTGTGCAATTTTGTTGTTAGATAATTATACTGTCAGCAGATATAAATGAATTTTAAATTAAAATGTTATTATTCTTAAAAATTATATATTTAAATTAAAAAATTATGTCGGCCTAAAATTTATATATTATCTAATGAGAGATTCTATGGTCCCGTTAGGGAAGCATTTCGTCGGGTTGTAACTGTTAGATCAATTATCCACGACGATTACATGATGATCTAACGGTTACAAATTCCAACGGAATAGTTCTGAAATTGTAGCATTTCCCATAATAATATTGCTCACCCATAATTTTCTTTCTTAAAATGCTCGAAGCCAGCGCGGATCCTCTCGTCCGGGTCAAACGCTGCCTTCCCAGCCAACGCCGCCGTCAACTCCCTCACTTTCACGGCGGCTGCCGCCTTCACCTCACTTTTCTCACTGCACTCCCCAAAAAAA